TTTCGAAGGAGATGATAAACAAATCTTTGGACAATATTTTGATTATGAGAATTAATGTAAGAAAAACACATGTCGGTGATGCAGCTTCTCTTGACTTGTCACAACGTACATAATACAACGTGCTAACTTAACCAGCAACGTTAGTACCCAAGCACCCCACCAAACCTAACCTGCCGGGACACAGAAAACGTGGATATTTGTCTACTTTTCAGTCCTCTGTAATTTACACGTTGGGGGGCCGTAACGTTGAAAATATGACGCAGTAGTTGAAAGAATACAAAAGAGAGAATTGAGGGATGAAGGCCTCGTAATGCACAGCATGCACCAACCACTACAGGGCAATTGAACGCTGCATATTCAATTGTCAAAATCGACTATTACTCAATTATGCGGCCTGCTGCAAGCCATGCAACATCACTGCTTACATTACCCGCTGTACGTGAGTGGACCAGCCAACATCACTGCTTACATCACCCGCTGTACGTGAGTGGACCAGACAACATCACTGCTTACATCACCCGCTGTACGTGAGTGGACCAGCCAACATCACTGCTTACATCAGCCGCTGTATGTGAGTGGACCAGACAACATCACTGCTTACATCACCCGCTGTACGTGAGTGGACCAGCCAACATCACTGCTTACATCAGCCGCTGTACGTGAGTGGACCAGACAACATCACTGCTTACATCACCCGCTGTACGTGAGTGGACCAGACAACATCACTGCTTACATCACCCGCTGTACGTGAGTGGACCAGCCAACATCACTGCTTACATCAGCCGCTGTATGTGAGTGGACCAGACAACATCACTGCTTACATCACCCGCTGTACGTGAGTGGACCAGCCAACATCACTACTTACATTACCCGCTGTATGTGAGTAGACCAGACAACATCACCCGCTGTACGTGAGTGGACCAGCCAACATCACTGCTTACATCACCCGCTGTATGTGAGTGGACCAGCCAACATCACTGCTTACATCACCCGCTGTACGTGAGTGGACCAGCCAACATCACTGCTTACATCACCCGCTGTATGTGAGTGGACCAGCCAACATCACTGCTTACATTACCCGCTGTATGTGAGTGGACCAGCCAACATCACTGCTTACATCACCCGCTGTATGTGAGTGGACCAGCCAACATCACTGCTTACATTACCCGCTGTATGTGAGTGGACCAGCCAACATCACTGCTTACATCACCCGCTATATGATGCACATCAACACACTAACGGAATGCAACAACGGTGAGTCACAGGAATTCGAGCAATTAATGAGAATAAAAATATCCAGTGTGTGTGTGTGTGTGTGTGTGTGTGTGTGTGTGTGTGTGTGTGTGTGTGTCTTAAGTACTATAACTGTGGATATAAAACAGAGAGGGGATATGATCACAACACAGAAGATACTTCCTAGCAGCTGGTGTGGCGGGGGTGAGAGGAAACTCGCTAGACTTGATGATTACTCCGTCTCACGTGTTCCAGGTTACCTACGGCTGGAATGAGTGTGTTGGAATTCCGTCATTTTGATTGTTCGTCGACTGCGTCGTCAATACTGTATTTCTATCGCTGGCGATCTTTGCCGAAAACCCTCCGTGGCTGCTACTTTCCCGTCAGGAGAATTTGGATATTAGAGGAAAAGTTAAATTTACGATCACAGTGAGAGGGAAGGGGGAAGGAAAGGAGAAGGAAAAACGATGCATATTGGGATATAGACTTAAGGCTCCTGCACAGTCTTAGCCCTCTCTCCCACCCCATCTACCCCCCCGCCACCTCTTCCCTCCTTTCCACCCCCACCCATCCAACCACCACGCACCCCCATCTTCACCCCCTCCATCTTCAAGGTGACCCTCTTCCGCCAGAGGTCCGGATGCAAGCCGAGGAGAAAACTCCGACAAACGCAATATGTACAACCCTTATCGTCTCAGGTGGGAGCCAGCAGGTCACGGTGTCTTAAGAGAGTGCGAATCTGAAGGCATCTCTACATGATGCTCTAGCTTAATGCAAAGTGGATAGAGATAAAATCCCTTACATAAAATATCACAGTCATTGTAAACGCAAGTGTTTGTTAATTGCCGAAAATGCACTATGGAAGGAAGCTGAGGTCCACTAACCAGCCCTGATTATCTCAGAACTACGCGTTGTAACCCTGCCAGGCAGCCCATCATCCTAAGGTTTCCCCAACGACAAGAAACTGTCGCACTAATGTCCCCTGATCATCACCTACCAGAGGACCCAAAGCAGAAAACGGGACAGTATGTCAATTTCGCGGGTCGCTACCATTTTAGGCCTTAGGTAGAGTATACGTCAAAACGTGACGTTCTGTTAGGAGGACAGGTTGTGTCGTGACTGGTTCAAATGCTGCCCCCCCCCATATACCGTTCCCACAACAGCATCCACCAATGAATGATCCAGATCTACTGTTTAAATGTTCTAGATCCTCCAGCTAAGTTTCCTGTTTCTGTTCTAAATGAACTAAATAGCCAGCTGTCTATACTTCCCATTACGGGCTATTCATGCCCGTGCCACCTCTTGGGTGGCTTAATCTTCCTCAATCAATCAATCAATCAACTACTTATCATCTACCTGACAACCCTCAACTTCTTCATAAATCCACGCCAATCGATTTCAC